CTGACACATTAATATTAATAAAAAGTTCTATACGAAAATTGAAATTTTATACTAAAAAAGAGAATTTCGGGAAAAATGTAATACATAACTCGGAAATTTCATGAATATTCCTCATCAGTAATGTGTAATTCTCCTGACTTTTAACAGAGTGTGAACTATAAATACAACTAATTACATTTGCAAACTGATTAAATTCTGATTTATGATTCTTTTTTGTTGAAGTTGTTAGCATAATTCTTTACTAACTCGTCAGCGCATAAAAGAACCAGGCAAAGTGTACAGTCTCTTGTAAAAGTAATGTCCCTCGGATACCTACCACTGTAGCATAGGCAACCAACATCCCAACCGACTAGTCCAAGTTGGATTTGCGGGTGTGGGAGGTAGGTAGGTATCTAATGCGGTTCGTTTTCAGCAGGTATTCCCACTTTGCCAAACTAAAAATAAGTTAGTAGAATGAAAATGAATGGCATCGATTTATTAGCTCAAAAGATCTGCGCTGCTTTAACCTATCTTTGGTTTAATACAATAGAAATTTTTACATTTCAATTGGTTTGGTTCGTTTTAAATTTGGAAATAGTTTAGCTAAAATAATGACATTTACTTTTAATTTTTTCGAGTAGATTTTCTTCTAACAAAATAAATGTGATGATTTTGTCGTTTTATACTGACATTGAAATTGAAGTCTCATTATTAATTACTCGGGCCTCCTAATGGAATGCGATTATCTGCACTGGAAGCGCAACAATGCCGTTCCTTTTGTAACTACCACCTCCCATTCCTTTCAAACCCCGGGATGGCACCCGCGGAAAAATTCGGCTGTTTTAATTATTTTTCCCTAATTTCTAATCATTTCACCTGCATGAAAAAGCCGGTTTAACTGGTAACTAATTTTTTTGTCAAAAAATATTATACCTATAACCTGGACTAAAAAATATCCTTATAAATGCCTACCTACTCAGAAATATGCAACGTAAAAGCTCTCCTAAACTAAATTCGATATTAAATCAACCACGACCAAGTATCACAAATGCATATCATTTAATTTCTGATGCTAGTTACAAAAGAAAGGTATTGTTGCACAGTGCACTTGTAGGGCAATTAATCGCATTCCATGAGGAGACCTACTCGCAAGTAATTATTAATGACACTGGAATTTCAATGTCATTAAAGGACAAGAATATCACCTTTATTTCGTTAGAAGAAAACCTACTCAAAAAATTAAAAAGTGAAAGGCCATTATTTTGTCTTAATAGTCTCTAGCTAAACTATTTGCAAATTTAAAACGCACCAAACCAATTGTAAGAAATGTAAAAATGTTTACTGCACCAAGCCAAGGATGTGCAGCGCAGATCCTTTGAGCTAATAAATCGATGGCATTCACTTTTATTCTACTAACTAGTATTTAGTTTGGCTAAATGGGAATATCTGCTGAAAATGAATCGCATTACTATAGATAGCTACCTCGCACACCCGCAAATCCAACTTGGACTAGGCGACTGGGATGTTGGTTGCCTATGCTACAGTGGTAGGTACCTATCCGAGGGACATTACTTTTACAAGAGACTGTACTGTACATTGCATGGACGTTATCACGTGCATAATTAGTGAATTGTCGTTGCAAACGGTTATTCTGGAATGTTATAAATCTAAGAAATGTAAAATATGTATATTAAATTATTTAAGAAATGCTGTGATCGATGTCCAATAGATCTATTAGACTGTCTACGGCGATAAATGAGTTGTCCCGAATACATTCTTGTAATATATTCCATCCTTTCAGATGGGGCGTTTGTGTCATAAGTATGCACTCGTAAAATATATTTCTTTTCGCTAAAATATTGTATTATTTGGTCGATATACAGGGTGTTTTTTGTCAGCTTTAGTTAAACGTTTCTGGGGAAGAAAAGGTTTTTAAAAACTTGTATTTAGGAGATACTCTGAAGGCCAAATCTATTTAAAATGTTTTCAAAATTGGTGCACTTCCGGAAATACCGGAAGTAGCTAGTAACTTCGTTATATTAAATAGCAACCCCTATTTTATTCCATTTTTGGATTCTACGTAAAATTTTAGTTGCTACCCACATGTCTATATACCATTTATGGTTTTGAAGTTAATTTGACTTTGAAGAAAAAAATGGCGGATGCAGACGGTACCTTGATAATTGATTACCTGACAACGGTTGTAGTAATGGCAATCCATATTTCGCCAGCAAATAGAGAAAGAATAGGTTTTTTAGTGTACTTTAAAAAAAGTTAATTTGCATACGACCGCACCTAAAAAGATCCAAAATTTCAAAAATCTAAAAACTCAAGTTTTTTTTTAATAAAATGACCATTTTCTTACTATTGCATTTGATAAAGAATCAAAATTGGCATATCTTGATATTACATGCATATTCCTATAGCTATCTTTAACAGTTTCTGACTTATTCCCATTTCATTGAGTTGATACCATTTTTTTCAGATTTTCTTTTTAGTAGTCGGCCATGATTTTATGACAATCGAATTTTCACCGTGGCATCACGAGCAGAAGAGGAAGGAAGCACAGCTGAAAAAAGTTTGGGGACTCGAGGAAATTCCTAGAGCAGTGGAAATGTCCCAACAAGCAGAAGAGTGAAGAGCTCTACCACCAAACCACTGTGACGAATCGTACACAATAAAAATACCGTCCAAAGAAGATCCGGGCACCCTAGAAAATTATCGGCAGTCGCAAGAGCAGTAGATGGAGAAAAAATTTGTAAAGGACAATAAACTGGAGGAAGCCTACAAGAAGTTTATGGACGACTATCTGCACCTTGGACACATGAAACTAGCTACAATTTCAAGGGAGAACATGACATACATCCCGAACCAGGCAATCATGAAGGAGTCCAGTACAACAACCAAGCGGAAAGGAGTAATTGACCCATCATCTAAAGGCGCAGATGGGAGGAGTCTAAAGGAGATGATGTATGTGGGACCAATATTGCAACATGATCTTTGGGGTCCTGTAACAAGATGGAGAAAGCATGGCTACGTTATTACGGCCGACGCCGACGACGTAGGGAAGATCAAATGGAACGCGGAAGACCACCGGTATAACATCGTAATATACCGGGACAGACAACAATCTCATCAGCCTCTCAATTACTGGGAGCAGTCATATAGCCCTCATAGCCATCTAGGGAGCATCGAAAACATGGAAATGACCACCACGGAAAAAGAATTAACAATCATCCTCAAAATATTAACAATGAAAATAGAGGTAGCACAAACAAATGAGGAAATTAGTGTAGTTAGAAACTAGAGTAAGATTAAAAATATAATATGCAAGTAGTAAGTACTGATGTAGCAACTTATACAACCTTAACTGTGTTAGTTAGCCAATTCTTGTATGATTTTTGTATATAAACTGTATAGAACTTAGACATAAACATTAAACAGTATTGACATAAAAATCGTTAGTCATTCACATTCTACAAACTTGGTGCAGAAGACCATTGTACTACTCCTGCTCACACTATCACGCCAATAGCGATCAATAAAAACAAAATGAAATTTTTTTATATTTAATACAAACAAAGTATCAAGTACCCTTTACAAATTAGGTTTTTTTTTCTTAATGAAAGGAACACCACAATTAAAAAATTAAACGGCGAATAAAAAATTAAATAAAGAAGGGATAGCGCTACCGGAACAAAATCCGTCGTTGAAATAATTATAAGTATTTTACATTTGATTTTGAGTATTGACAAAAAAACAGGTACTTCTCAACTAAATTATGTATCAACATGAACAATATGTATGGAAGATTTTAAATGAAATAAATGATGAATGAATGGTGAAATTGTAGCTGACCTTGTGTTTGATTTCTTTTTCTTGATGTCGTCTGAAGATTCAATAAAATTTTGACAGGTAGATAATGATTTTGCTATCGACGAATACTCCTGAAGAAAATTGCTGAAGCTGGTAAGTTGTTTTTTCTATTTGATGCAAACTACTTTTGAATTTTTGAAATACGGAAGCTGGTTCTTTTTTTTCCAGAAACTAATTATCCCTTTTTCTGTTTCAGGGGCAGTTCGCAAAAATGAGTTCCGAATTTTTTTGCGAAACGGTTAGTTTTATAATAAAAATAGCTCAGACTGGTTTCCCCAGTAGGCCTACTCCACGGTGTATTTTATTTAATCCTATTAGAATAATAGGTCTTCTCATTCAATTTATGCTTCTTTTTCGTCTTCTCTTTCTACATAAAGTTCTTCTTGTTTTTCTTCGTCTTCTTCTTCTTGAGTCGACGTAAATTGTTCAAACAGTGATACATCAGATGTTTCGTCGTCGATGTAAGCGCGGTCGCACACTGACAATGCATCAAACATGCAGCATGCAACATGCGACATGAAGTAAATGTTGTATGTTGGATAACCTCGCACATATACAGCAGCATTAGTTTGCTTGCAGTAAGCAAAATGTCTTCAAGCGAGGAGGATGTTATAGTAGCTTGGCAATATTTGCGAAGACGATTGAAACAAAAAAGAAAGCAGCGCCGTTTTTGGATTCATCCTCTATTTGTAGATAACATAGTACATAATCCAGCTTCTGTTACAAAAGAGCAATTAACGCTCAATCCAGAAAAATTTAAAGAGTTTTATAGAATGTCCAAAGAAAGTTTTAATCAGTTACTGCATATGGTAGGACCTAAGATAGAAAAGCAAGATACTCATTTTAGGGATGCGATTTCCCCTGAGGAGCGTTTATTGATAACATTACGGTAAGTAGATACCTATGCAATATAATTTGTGATAGTAGTAAATATTAATGATTTAATTATTGTACCATGTGTGTTCGTAGTCGCTTGTAGTATGCTGATTTTCGAATGTGGACGTTTCAGCCCTTTGCTCCTGCACAGGCCATTCTCCTAATGGCGTGTTTGGACTAGGCGTTGAAGAAGCAACAAAATATGACCCTGCCGAAGTCCTGCTATTGGTGCTCCATGTTGAATTAGTATTCCTATACGATCTAATATACGCATCTTCCAATATTTCATCTACAAGCCCAATAACTTTTTGCCGAAATCGGCGATTTTGCTTCTCTGTCATTTTACGCATATCTGGTACTAAACTTCGTAAAAATGACATATTTGGATCATCATTTTTGTTATCGTCTCTTTCTTTTTTGTTCTTAAGCCACCCCACAAAAGCAGCGTCAACAGGATTTGGAGGTAATGAAGAAATTTGAGACAGTTTTCTCTTTTTTGCTATATTAGTAGGTGTAGTGACTTCTTGTCTACTTGTTACATTCACGTTCTCATTTGTAATTAAATCTGATAGCGAATTAGATGCATTGCCATCTTGACTTCTTTCATCATTTTGCGGTTGAGAATGCAGGTCTTCATTTTCCGTATTTTCCTGGGATTCGCTATTTTCTTCTTCAGAATTATCATCGATTGTTTCTAGATTTCCAGTACTTGCTTTACTTTTGGTAAAAGGAAGAATGAATTGTAAATGATCAGAGAGGTAATATTTTTTCTTTTCGTTAGTTCCTGCGCCGGAGCGTGGTTTTTTTAACGATCTTAAAAAGGATCCTCTTATATTCCTCCAGCGTTCGCGACA